TGAAAGCCCGGTCTGTGTCGAGTCGCCGTGGCGCTGCCAGGGAGAGGGAAGCGGTCATGGCTGTGGGGCTGCTCGGCCATGAGCCCGGCACGCAGAGCTGTGGCCCGAACCGGGCCTGGGGGGCAGGAGGTGGGAGAAGGGCAGAGGACGGGCAGCACGTGGGGACAGTGCGAGGGGACCGTGCTAAAAAGCCTCCCTGAGCTGGTTTTCTGTGTCAGGTACCAGTAGAGGTGGTCTGGGGTTGAATACCTCCCGCTTCGGGAGGCAATAAAGAAGAAGATTTTGTAGTCCTCTCAGCGCTGGGCGTGAAACCCGGGGAGGCTGGCCCGTCCGACTGTTGGTGGTCCCCGGCAGCGCCAGCCGGAGCAGCTTGGTCCCTCGGCGCCGGGGGACTGGGCAGCGCAGGCTGCAGCTGGAGCGGAGTGACCAAAGCCGCAAGGGAAGGGGTGATCTCCTGTGGAGTGAGGCCAGCTCAGGAGGTGAACCAAGCAGGCAGGCAGGAAGCGGCAGAAGGTGCACTGCGGCGAGGGCGCGATGCTGCTGGTGGAGCCAAGTCAGTTCCTGCGGTGAAGTCAGTCCTCGAGGAGGTCCTTCATGGTCTGTAACTCGCCAGGAAGGTGGCTATGGCCGTTGCTACCACTGCCACCAGGAGAGGGATCCAGTGACAGCACCGTCTCTGCCAGGAGAAGCAAGCGTTACTAGGAAATCGGTGGGGAGAAGGAACTTCTCGTCTCATCCCTAGCAAACCTGTCATTCATCTTCCCGCACTGCACAAACAACTGGGGGAATTTTTCCCAGACGGATGTGCAGCCCCGGTCCGAAGGCGCTGGGAGCCGGGGCGAGGAACGCCTCCCACCTTTGCCTGCTTGCTCTGGAAGTGGTTGAGCTCGTCCCGGCACTGGCGCAGCCTGGCCAGGCAGCAGCGGTACTCCTCGCTCAGGGCCTCCAGCTCCGAGCGCAGCTCCGTGCACTGCAAGCAGAGCGGGGGGCTGTTAGCGGGGGGATCCCCTGGCTCCTGTACGCACCGAGGGTGGCCGGGCTTCGTCCACGCACGGGCGCTGCGGTGACGGGGGGGTTCCTTCTGCTGCCTGTGCGTACCTACAGGGGACAGAGCAGATCGCAGCATTACCGGGGATGTAGCGATACCTGTTACCAAAAATTTGGAAAAATTTCTTTCCTGAAAGAGTGGCCAGGTGTTGGACCAGGCTGCCCAGGGCAGTGGTGGAGCCACCATCCCTGGAGGGGTTCCAAAGACGTGTAGATGTGGCACTTTGGGACATGGTTTAGCAGGCGTGGTGGTGGGGGGGGGAGGGTTGGACTTGATCTTAGTGGCTTTTTCCAACCTTAATGATTCTAGGAGTCTACCCCATCACCTGCTTGGCTTTGCTGCCAGCGTTCACAGCACATGGGAGAAAGCAGGAACAGGGATTTTTCTGACCACAGAAGTGCGCAGGTCAGGAAGAAGACACGGAGTGCGAACTTGTGGCAGGGTTCGCCTCTCGTTCCGACGTTCAGCCTGCATTTCATGGACTGTGGGAGCAGTTGCAGAGTCCTTTGAACCCCCTGAGCGTGGGCCATGTGGGACAGGCACCTTGGTCGAGCTGTGCAACCCCAAAACCCAGCGAGCGCCTTTTTTCCAGTCCGGCCGCGCAGCCCGAGTTCCTGCTGCCTTCCCGGCAAGCGGCGCGTGAGCAGCAGCTGCGGAGGAGCCTGCCCGTGCCGGGAGCTGCGAGAGCTGCTGCGGGGGTGGTGGGGGGAGATGGGCCCCCCAGCTGTGCCCTTTTACTGTGATTGTGCCTTACAAAACCCTTCCCCAGGTGACGCTGGGTGATGCCTGATGGTGGTGGTACACTCGCTAGCGTGGGTCAGCAGGAGAAGCTCTTCCCCGGGTGGCCCCAAGCTCCACTACAGTAAGTTATAAATCTTTTTTTATAAATCCTTGCTGTGGAAGTGCTGCTATGAGAACTGCTGGTTGGCAGAAGACACGGTCTGTGCTACCAGCCTGGTGTCCTGCAACAGTGGCTTAGACGGGAAAGAGCGTGTAAGAGGTCGGAAAGCTTTCAGGGTTTTTGCCGCCTGGTTGTAAGGGCGTTGCTTTTGTTAGCGGATCCCTCCTGTTATTTGCAAGCCTTTTTCTTTCCTCCTTCCTTTCTCTGTGCTCAGGGCTTCAGCTCCTGAAGCGTGGCTTTGGCTTTTCCCCGGGAGACTGCGGGGACTCTCCCATCTGTGGGAGCAGACGTGGGTCTGCGTGGAGAGGGCTCTGCTGCTGCAGCCCCGGGCTGCTGGAGCCCTGCCCTTGCACGCAGATGCTGCGCTGGGGTTTAGGTGAGGCTGGTATCAGGACAAAAATTCAGCAGAGGCAATCCTTACGGGAGATACCAAGCTCAGGCTGCTTCCAGGAGCTTTGTGTCATGCTGCTGGAGCACTTACACCAGCGGCTCGCTCCCCAGCAGGGAACGCGCTGCCGGCCGTGGGTCGGTGACTTCCTCACCTCGTTCTCCTTCGCTGTAAGCTGGGATGTCCTTTTCTGCATCTCGTCCTTCAGACTTTCTTCTCCCTCCTCCTCCTCGGGGTGCTCTAACAGAACGTTTTGTTTTTCCTTGGCAGGAGTGAGAGGTGGGGTCTGCGTGGTGGAAACCTGGTCTAGAAAACAGTCAGGCTTCTGGTGAGAAACAGGTCCGGGCGTTCAGTTTGCTTTAGATCTTGTTTACTCAGCACAGTTTAAAGATAATATTTGCGTGCTACACACAGAGCAGAGGACACAGGAGCTGAGTTGGTTATCAGGGGCCTGCCTTCGCTGTAGCTACAAGTTATCATCTTTAGAGGAATATTTATAGTGAGTTGGCAGACATGGAAGAGAGGGAGAGTTAAAATGCCTTTTATTGCTCTTTTTTTTTCAAGTACAGCTGTAGTTGTGATTATAAACTGGAATGTATTTAGCTTGGGAAAAAATGGCATAGCCACTGAAGTAGAATTTGCAATGAAATCCAGTAATTTTTTAAAGTGTTTGCCATCATAAATACACGTGCATGTTAATGTTAACTAGCGAAATATAATAACTTGCTTCGTGCAGCTTTAAAATAATCCTTTATTCTAAAGCGCTGTGGCCTTCTCCTAGAGCCAGGGCTAAGGCTCCCGTGTCCGGGAGAACAGGGCTGGGTGGGAGTTACAACGGATGCTGACCTGGGCTTGGCACCATCGCCTCCTGGGCCTCCCCTGCCCGCGTCCGGCTCCGTAGCAAATCTGGGAACGGGAAAAGCCTCTGTTACCGTCCACAGCGCGGACGCTGGTCTCTCGCTTTGCACGCCCGTGTGTTACTTACTGTGCAAATGGCTGACTGTTGCCTCCAGCGTTACCTTCTGGTTTTGTTCTTCTTGCAATTTATCTGAAATAGCGAGAAGAGGAAAATCAAGCTTGATGGGAATCTCTGTATCTTTGTGCAAGCGCGCAACTGCCCCTTTCCTCCTGTACATGTGTAAAGTGGGGTGGATGTTGTCAGCTACACTGAACTTTCTTCTCTGAAGGGATGCGATTTTTAGCTGTTGGTGGCCCTTTCAGCTTTGGCAGCTCTTTCTAGTGCACCTTACATTCTATTAATTTATGATTTATTTTAAAGCTGTTCCTGTGAGACCTGTTACGAAAATAGAACTGCCACCCATTTACCCTTCCTTGATTGTGTTTTGAAATAGCCATGTGAAGTGTGTGCGAGTTTCTTGCTGAAGGAGCTGGTACTTCAGGACGCTGTTAGCACGTATTCACAGGCTGGTAGTGCCCACCGCCAGGCAGCAGCACCTCAGACAGTAACGGGCGCTGCCTCGCTGTGTCTGGTGGGTCTGTCAAGGACGCAGAAGTCCTCATCAGAGCTGAGGACTCACCTTTGATTATTGTTTTTTTTTCAGGTCTCCTATTCTATCTTTTCTTCTAGAAAAGTCACTTCACTTCTCTGAAGTCCTTTAATCTACCTGAAAATGACTTTCGGAGCCCTTTGGAAACCAGAGGCTTTCTTGTCAAGCTGAGGTGTGCAACACGCTCAGAGAGAGATTCTTTTGTGTGCGTGCGTGCTTGGCTTTAAGTGGCCAGGATTTTAAGCATCTTTTCCTTTTATTCTCCGCTCTCCTGGAGGACAGACCCCCTCCCCCTGCCCGCCATACCTTCGATGGTGCTGATGCGCTCTGCCTTCAGGTCGTTGTCCTCCCGCAAGGCGCTGGCTCGCTGGCGGAGCACGGCGTGCTCGTTCTGCAAGCTGCCCAGGGCCTGCCGGAGCTGCTCGTTCTGCGTGGCCGCTCGCTGCGGGCGAGAAGAAGCCCCCGGCATCAGCCCAGCCCCACCGGCCCCCAGCCCCGCGGCTTCGCCGGCTTTCCAGCCGCGAAAGGCAGCCCCGAGCTGAGCACTAGGCTGTCCGTGTAACTGCTGTGCTTCATCGCATGGGGTTCATTACACCGTGATCTCGACCTGGGGGCTTCCCTGCTTGCAACCTGGAAAACGTGAACTCCTGCGGGGAATCCTCCTGGGGCTGTTTAGTCGGGAGCAGAGGAGGCTGAGGGGAGATCTTATCGCTCTCTACAGCTACCTGACAGGAGGTTGTGGTGAGGCGGAGGTTGGTCACTTCTCCCCCGTAACTAGCGACAGGGCCAGAGGCAAAGGGCTTCACGTGGTTAGATTGGATATTGGGAAAAATTTCTTTACTGAAAGAGTGGTCAGGCATTGGATGAGGCTGCCCAGGGCAGTGGTGGAGTCCCCATCCCTGGAGGGGTTCCAAAGACGTGTGGATGTGGCACTTTGGGACACGGTTTAGCAGGCATGGTGGGGTTGGGGTGACGGTTGGACTTGATAATCTTAGAGGTCTTTTCCAACCTTAATGATTCTATGCACTACTGTACCTGCAGTTCGCTTTGCAAGACATGGAAGCTGTTCTCGAGCTCGGTGTGCGCCGTACTCATCTTGGTCAGTTCGGCTTTGAGTGTGGTGGTGTGCTCTTGCCAGAAGGCAAGGTCCTCCCTCATCGTTGCCAGGCTTCTCTGGGGAGGAGAGCAAGGACCGAGGGGTGGGCTGGGGCCCATGGCCTGGGGGACCCTGCCAGGCTGCCCTGAACGGCATCCACAGGCTTTCGCATCGCTGGCATGGGGCCGGGCAGCGCGGCTGTGTCCTGTGCGTGGGGCCGATGGACGGAGCGAACGCAGGCACGGCTTCGCCAGGCACCCGAGTCCTCAGCTGCCGAGAGGGCTTGGAAAGCTGGTAGTCTTTGGGATAGGAACTATTGATTGTTCTGAAAATACCGGTTTGGATTGACCCACGGGACACCCCCTGGGGAAAATCCACTTTCCTATAAAAGAGAAACTTCAGAAAAAAAGTCTCTGGAAACCTCGTCCCCCGGATGTCTGCGTGTGCGGCTTGTTGCTCCGTCTGCGCCGAGCAGGGAATGGGAAGGGACAGCGGAGGAGAAGCGATTACGCCTAAAACTGCCAAACAACAGTAGATTTCCCCATCTGGGTGCTGTTGTTAATAACCTGATGTGTGGCTCACAAGATGAGCACAGGTTGCCACTTGCTTTGGCCTTTGCTCAGGAGCTAAAAAAATGGTGGTTTTGCATCTTTGTTACTACTGGTAAGCTAGTCCTCGCTCTTCCCTGAAATGTGGGGGCTTTCTGTGGGTCTAAATTAAAGCAGAGCCAGGTGTAAACCATGTTGCTTACCTGAGAGTTTTGCAGCTGCTGCTCTGTTTGGAGCTTGTCCTCCAGCATCTTCTGAAGAGCCTCCTTTGCCTTCTGCTCGTAGGTCTGCTTCTGGTCCTCCATCTCCACCAGGATCTTCTTCATGCACTCCTTTGAGTAACTCTTTAAAGGAAGAATTAAAGAGCTAGAAGGGTCTTATCCGACACATTCCTAGTCTTGCTAAGCCTGAATATTAGCAAATCCAGAGTGTGTAAATGCTCCTGCTAATTTGCTGTGAAGCATTGCTTCAGCAGAGAGGAAAAACCGTTTTCAGATCCATATCTAATCAGATTGCTCTAGAAACTGAGACCTGACCTAATTACGTGGTTTGGGTATTTTGTTTTCATGCCTTTCTTCACCCCCGTTTGTTTCTCAGCAATCAGACATTACCTGGGTGCAGGCCTGCAGCTGATTTTCAAGTGCCCTTAGTTTACACTTCAGTTTATCTTCGTTCAGCTGACCCTGGGGAAAAAACAATTGGACCGATGTGTGGCATCATGAGCTGTACAATATGCCCCCAGAGTTTTGTTCGCTTGTGTTCTGGTTCACTTCCTCCCTTTTCTTCATCTATAATATTGTGGCTAAATTTAGTTAAAGTCTTTTCAACACCCAGAGTTCAAGTAAGCCCTTCATGGTCTCAGAATAAATGGGATAAAGGGGAAGTAAATCTTTTAAGCGCTGGAAAAACTCTCCTGAGGCAGTCCCACTGGTTCCTGAGTGCGGGTACCTGCAGCAAGAGAAGCAGCTGAGAGCAGGGGGGTTTCGGGTTAGCCTGGGTGGGTCTGGCAGAAGCGTGGCTGCCGCCCGTCCCTGCGTAGAGCCCTGTTCCCCTGCTCGTGGTTCCTCCCCGCCAGGCTCCGTGCCGACAGCCCAGCTGGTGTGAAGATCTGGTCTTGCTGGTTCGCGTAGGACATAGGCTGGGTCTGCGTTGCAACATCGAGCAGTTGGGCAGGGGGATAGAGGGCAACACTGATGATTCATTTTCCTTATTATAATCTCCTCTCGGTGTTAGTCAGGCTTCTTAGGTTTTGTGAAACTGCATGCAAATTCAGATAAAATTTCTAGCAAAGAGTTCACGTAGGCTGTTTTTCCACCACCGATACCGAGAACGCCAGTATCCTCTCTGCTTACTGCTGTTTGAAGTCCAGCCTCTGAAAAAGCGGCTCCTTGATGTTGCAGGAAGAGCTGTTAGAGCAATTAGCACTTGGTACCAGCAGCTCATCTGGGAATAGCTAGTCTTTGGGACTGTAAACTGTGCAAATTTAAACAGTGCCAAGATGCCAGAGAATCTGGTTTTGCTTGGGTCTATCCTCTTGGAAAGTAGGGGCAATTTTGAAAAGCATTTTCATACGTGAAATATTATGCCTAGGTTTCCTTGGCAGTTTATCTTATTCTGCTACCTGCAAAGGTTCATGCTGGAGGTATGTGGAGTGGTGTTATGGCCGTCATGCAAGGGTGTAAAGGACTGTGCAAAGTACAAGGCAACACAGCACCAGGCCCTTCCTACGCTTGAGAGCAGAAATGTGCTGGCAAACTCCTTTCATGGAGATGCAGCTTATAAATTGGCAAAAGAACACAGAGTATAAAGATTTCCCTAAATGGAATAAGCTGTCTGTTGGGGCTGTTAGCAGAACAGCATGGCAGTGAGGGGTGAGTGAGAATGTGCACATACGTGGGAGGACAGAAGAAATTCTGTTTCTGACCAGAAAACATATGAGAGCAAATCTTGGTCAAGCCCTTGTCTTGAAGATTATCTACATGAAAGGGGCTGCTTTATAAAAGAAACAAACAAAAAATCCCCACAAACAAAAAACCCCCAAACAAACAAACAAACAAAAAACCCCAAACCAACCAACCAAAACCCCCACCCACAGCTAAACAAAACAGCAGCAACAAAACCCCTTTAGCCACCGCCATCAGATAGCAGTGGTTTTTCCTCCCTTCTGCAGCGTCTCCGGTGACGCTGCTCGAACACTGCCCGGGGACCCTCGTGCTGCCCGCAGACACCCACTGAAAGCTGCGCCGGGGCGAGGAGCAGGGCTGGCACCTTGAAAACGCACCCACTCTGGCAAACACCGGGTTCGAGTGCCCTGTGGCCCTCATCTTCAGAGATCCGAGCTTACCCGCGTGGGCAGCTCCAAAACCTGGCTCAAACTCTTCTGCGTTTCTCGCCGCTGTCACTAAAGTGCCACGTGAGTGTGTTGAACTGGTTGTGGCTGACAGCTGTAGTGTCTTGGTTGTCCTGTGACGAGTTCTCTGATACTCCTTCCCTTAGTCCTTTTAAATAGCTGGTTTGAAGCAGTAATAAGAAGAGCTGTTTCTGGAAGGCTTCCAGTTTGCCCAAACACAAAGCTTGTGCTAGAAAAATAAGTCCATCTAGTAGTAGTAATACACTGGAAATGACAAAGAACTTGAACTCTGCAAAGTTGCAAGGTACGTCCAAAAGTCAGGCTCAACTTCAGAGTTCAGGAAGGGAATATATCAGAGTAGCAATTTTCTTTAAGAGAACAGCTTAAAACTAATTAATCTCAATAATCATTACTGAGAAAGACTTAGCTTCCTTCATCTGGGAGCTTTTTTGAATCAGCTAAGCAAGTTTTACAACAGATGGGGGATTTACAGTACAGACCTGTGGTAGGAAGGTCTCTAACCTGGGTAATATCGCGGGAGGGGGAAGGAACCAAATGCTTTATCCCTCGCTGTAACTACACGCCGTCCTCCTGCGGAGCGTTTGCTCTCTCTGCCAAACCAGGAGCACCCGTGAACACGAGCAGCGTCTCAGAAATGACTCGATGGCCAGGCCAGTTCGGGAGTCGCGGACGGAACACTCCAGTGCGTGCCATCCCATTTCTTTGAGACCCAAAGTACTGGAGAGGATTAAACAGCCTCTGCACCCAGCATTTGGCGTCTCACCTGAGCCTGGAAGCGGGCAACCAACCTTTGGTTCCCACGGCACAGTGTTACCGCGTGGGACCCGTCTGTGCCTCCCTTTGGCAGCCCCCCCCCCCGGCCCCCTCCACGCAGCTCCGGGGGCCCCCCCAGCAGGCAGCAGCTGCCTCCCCTGCCCCGGGGGCTCCGGCGCCAGCGGTGAGGGAGTTTTCAGCCCGACCAAAGGCTGAACGCAAGAGGCAGCGGCCAAGTCTCTCGGCCGCAGCAGAGACAGCGAGAAGCAAAGCGCACCCACCTGTTTCTAACCCGAGGTTTCATGGCCACTTCCTGCAGTGTGTCGGGGTGTTTTTTCCTGCTCATGTTATATTTGAAGAAGCAAAGAAGGCGGAAGTTTCTAACCGCAGTACAGCCAACACACGTTTTCTACGCCATCTCACCCAATCACTTGCTCTTCTGCCCCGACAGAACTTTCAAACCACTTTTTTAATGGCACAGTGAACTGTAAATTGCTATTTAATAACCCTATATAAAACTCTTCAAATATTTCACAAAATGCATCACCTTAATTTTACTGCCTGAAAGCAAATTAATGGGCCTTGGTTTTCAGGC